GAATGGGGAAATGGAGCTGGCAGTGTTGGTCACCTTCTCTGGAGGACAAATTGGCATTTCCACTCCAAGTTACAAACGCACACACTTCGGAGACTACTGTCCATAGAGCTTGTGCCTGTGCAGTGACCCACGTGTGACATTGTTCCAAGAGGCAGCCCGTGTGTCCATCAGGAGGGGCTGACTAGGAACAAGCCTGGTCACCACTCACCACTGCATGGAACGATGTAGGGTCATCAGTCCGAGGTGTGGATATTTAAGTGAAAATAAAATAAATTTATTACAGTAAAAGACACATTGCCATGAATCCTCCTCATAATACGCCTCTGTATTTTGAACACACTTATCCCATTGTTCCTGCCATTTTCTGCAGCAGTTCTGGAAGTTCTTTCCTGATTGTCTCTATGAGGTGTGATAAAAAATATAGTGAATGCTGTCGCCGAGCACCATCCACTGGAAAGGCAGTTCATAAAAACATACTGGGCAGAGGATTTAGCTCAGGGGTCTCACTGCCTGCTGGGTAAACACAAGGACCTGAGTTCGATCCTTGGTACCAAAAAGCCCCACAAAAACAAAACAACAAAAAAAACATGATACCGTGTCCTCATCTACCTCAGTCACTGGATCTGGCACCATGTGACTTCTGGCTCTTCCGCAAAGTCAAAATGACCATGAGAGGGAAATGTTTTGAATCGATTCAGGACACTGAGGCAGCCAGGACAGCACAACTAAAGACAACCAGGAAGGAGGACTCCAGAGCTGCTGCAGGAAGTGGCAAGGATGGTGGGATGAGTGCGTGCAAAGCGAAGGAGAGAATTCTGAAGGGGACTCACGGCAATGTGTCTTTTATTGTAAGAAAATTTTAAAATTTAACCACTCATGGTATATTTTGATCACAGCTGGTGACTCTACATTGAGTGTATGTTGAATATCACCGTATATTGGCTGTAACTGTCTCTAAGATGTTGCTAAGGAAAACACAAGACAAAATGCAGAACAATGGATACGTAAGCAACTATTTATGTCAAAAAGCAGAAAAAGAACATAGTGTGTCTATGTCCTTTTTTAAATATGTAAAATATTCCTGGAAGGTTCCTAAGAAACTGCTAGCATCCTATCTCTGTGGAGTTGAGTGGCTACAAGACTGTAGAAGAAGGGTGATCTTTGCTCTAGAATGCCGTGTCTTTCCCTGAGGCATGAAAATGTTTGACCTATTCAAAACCTAAATAAAATTAAGATGAGAAGACCGAGAAAGGTGAGTGAGGCTCAGAGAGGGTGAGGGCTTCCCGGGCATCACACAGCGGCAGGGACTGAAAGCAGCCTTCCTCCCGCTGCTGGCACACCATGGTATTGGTTTCGTTTCCCTGGCAATCTCCCCACGCTGGAGTTTTTGCTCTTTGAAGCTGTTTGGAATATCCTCTCTCTACCTCGTTAGCTGGCAGGTTGGACTGTTTTCCCCAGCTGACTCAATTGATGTGTTCCTTTGCCTCAGTGACAGCTTGGGGACGGGGCTCCTGTGCCCCTCTGACTCAGTGCTTCCTTCAGAGGCCTGGCCGGTGTCCCTCTCAGTGGCAGCTGCCTGGGGTGCAGGGTGCGGGGGACACAGGTGCTGCTGGAGGCCCTGGATTCCAGGAGCTCTGAGGGTCTTCCCGGGCCTCTCCCTCCCCCGGATTGCCAGGAACAACTGTGATTTCCTGGCTGCAGGAAGCAAGGTGACAGATGCCAGGCCTTTGTGACCGAGGCCCTTCTGGGTCCCCGGCAGAGACGCCGTTTAGAGGACGTTTTTCTGCCGCGGCCTGCTCGTACCTGCTCGCCGCGTCCTCGTGTCCTCAGCGGTGGCTCCCCAGGGCGGCAGGAGGACTGCACGCAGGCTCGTCCGGCGGGCGCAGACCCTCTCCTCCGGGAACGGACAGCCTGGTGCCCAGCGATCGCGGGTCACCCTGCGCTTCCCCGGCGTGTCGCGAGCCTCATCGCTAGGCCCCGTACAGGGTGGCTGCAGGCCAGGGGGCCTCGTGCAGCTGAGATCTTCTCTCTCAAGGCTGCTCCCGGGGCTGGCTTCGTCGGCAGGTGTAGCTTTGTGCAGGCTGAGCGCAGGATGTGGGGTGCCCGGGAGGGACCCGACTTCGATCACGGTCGCAGGGGCTGGGGAACAAGTGCAGGGCCCCGCGCTCCGCCACCGCCTCTGTCCAGAGGTCGGGCCTTTGCGTCCTCAGCCATCTGGGACCCAGGTGAGAATACAGCGAACCCCCGGGGTCCGGCGTGGCCCGAGGGCCCTGCGATCCTGGCTCGCCCTCCCTTGGCCGCCGCTGTCAGAAGTGCAGTGATCCTTCCGCGGCCTCCACGCCCACGCGGGCTCGCAGGAGGTGGAGATGGGAGTTGGGGAGGGCCCAGCCGCACACGGGACCGACGTCTGCCCCGTAGGCTTTCCCGCCAAGTCTTGGGAGCGGCGCTCATGTCCATCAACGACACGTGAACGGATAAAGAGGATGTGGCGTTCATACACAGTGGAGCACTACTCTGCCATAAAGAAGGAAACACGAGTTATTTGTAAGAAAAGGAAGGGACCTTGAGACCATAATGTGAAGTGAAATAAGTCAGACACACGAGCTAAAATCACATGATCTCTCTTATTTGAGAAACTCAAATTATAAATAAAGAGCTAAATAAAAGGCATTAGGAATCAGGGCGATAGATCCTTTGCAAATGGGAAGAGAGCAAGAGATGGGGGGGAGGATGAAGAAAGACTGAAGACTGTCAGGCACACGCGCCACCCCCCGAATGTCATCACTGTGCAGCACAGAGAGGCACCGGTAGAACACAAGCCAAACAAAGCAGTGTCCTTCCGCCTGTGCGGAATAACGACCCCATCAGGTGCCTCCTCGGCGCCCGGGGACGCGTAGCCCTGTCTGCGTTGGTTTAAATACCACAAACTTGCCTAAGGACATGTTTATCAGACTGGAACCCTGCTGCGATGCAGTGCTTCACTGTATAATATAATTTTTTTTTGGTACCGGGGATCAAACTCGGGACCTTGAGCTTGTGAGGCAAGAGGCGGAACCACTGAGCTAAATCCCCGGCTCCATTCACTGTATAATAAAAAGTAAAATTAAAAAAAATGCAGTTGTAAGTGAGCTGTGGTGATGCACAATCTAAATCCCAGCACTCTGGGGGCTGAGGCAGGAGGATCCCACGTTTAAGTCCAGCCTGGGTCCTTTAGCTTAGCAAGACCCTGTCTCAAAAAAAGAAAAAGATCTGGACATGGAGCTCAGTGTGAAGGCTGTGGGAGACATTTTTTTTTTTTTTTTGGTACTGGGGATCGAACTCGGGTCCTTGCGCTTGCGCAGCAGGCAGCGAAACCCCTGAGCTAAATCCCCGGCCCGGTGGTGGGTTTTTATTGAAAACAAAAATAGATGTCACTTCCTCCTGTAAAACTTCTCCTTCCTTTGGGGTCTGGCCTCTGTCTTCTCCAGTCTCTTGCTGCCCCCTGGGCCATGTCCCATCGGGTCTCGGCTCTCCCAGACCCTCTGTACATCCTGTCCACTCCCCTGCCTGGCCTGGGTCCTCCTGACAGTCCAGCTCTGTGCCAGGCCTGGTTCACTCCCATGGCAGGCTGTGCACACACTGACATCCACACTGCTTGTTCAGTGCACACTCCCTGCAACTGAGCCCGGTGCTCTGGGCAGGAGGGACGGAGCAGGGTTTGTCCCATTCTGCCTCTCTGGAGCTGTCAGTCGGGTGGATGGGCTGGCACCGTCCCCTGGAACCCGGGGCACTTCATCCAATGTGTGTCCTGGTTCTGGGGTGGGGTGGGTGGGGAGTCAGCGCCAGGCCCCCTCCCCTGCTGGGCACAGCTTGGGGCAGGCGCTTTGTCCCTGGAGGGCTGGAAGAGTGGCTTTGCTCTGGTCACAGTTATGCTCTGGATGGGAAGATGGAAAGGAGCTCAGGGGATGGGTCACTCACCTGTGGGGGCGCGGCCTCCTGGTGCTCTTGCGGTATCGGAGGCCCATGTGCCAGAGTATCCGCAGCGGACTGGCCTGTCAGCCCTTATTACCCTCCCTCTCCTACTCTTTCTTTCCATCCTGGGATTAAACCTAAGGCATTCGCACTGAGCTACATCCTCAAACCCTTTTACAAATTTTTGATTTTGAGATGGTCTGGCCCAGGCTGGGCTTGAACTTGCAATCCTCTTGCCTCCAAATCCCAGAGTTCTGGGATCACAGGCTTGTGCCACTATGCCAGGCTTATTTCTTTACTTTCAACTAAAAATATCCATAAACCAAAGCTGTCTCTCTCCAGTGTAAAGCAAGTTCACTGAACATTAAAAGCCAAACCATTTGTTCTCCTGAAAATTCTTACCTAGAAAGCATTCTTTCACTCTACTTTGATTTTAAGAGAAATATGGAAAATTTGGAGAATAGAGAAAAAGATAAAGAATAAAAAGGAAAGGATATCTGGGGAAACTCCTTCAAGTTTTGGAGGTACTTTCTCCTGATCTCTGTACTACACATATTAAAGTACACAGATGAGGACACATATGTACAGCACAAAGGTGATTAAGATCACATCTTGTGGGGTTTTTTTCAGTACCAGGGATTGAACTCAGGACCTAGTGCTTGCCAGGCCTTTTTGGCACTGCTGAACTACATCCCCGGCCCCACATCTTGTTTTCTTAACTTTACATGAGATTTTGAGCATGTTTTTATATCCTTAGATATTCTTTTTTTTTCTTTTTGGTACCAGAGATGGAACTCGGGACCTTGTGCTTGCAAGGCAGGTGGTGGCACCACTGAGCTAATTCCTGGCCCCTTAAATGCTCTTAAAGAGTGTTTTTTGAAGGCTGTATAGTACTTCATTGAAAGGACATGCTTTAATCACCTCCTAGTTTTGAGCAGTTAGGCTCTTGCTAAGTTTTCATTGCTGTAGGTCTATTGGAATGAATTTTCCTGTATCTCTGATGATTTCTTACAAATTCCTAGGCGTACAATTCCTAGGTTAGGGATATGAGTATTTGTCAGTGTTTTGATTTATGTTGCCAAATTAATTTTTAGAAAGAGTATCTGTTGACATTGCCGCTGACGACACAGGAGGGGTTTTGCTCTGCACCCTCGGCAGTGCTGTTGTCACAATTTGCAGGCAGTCAGGTTGACCGTCTCCAGTTACCTTCCCAACCTCTGCGCTGATGGCGGGCTGTGAACCGGCTCTGGTCGCTGAGTGAAGGAAGCGGCTTCCTCCTTATTCTGGTGTTTGTTTGCGTCCGTTTCCGGAAGGGTGCACGTGGCCCGGGAAAGCTGAGGGACCCCGTGCGCCAGGCACCTCCGCTGTGGGCCCGGGACGCTCCGCTGAAGCGTCGCCAGGGTCAGTGACGCGCATGCGCGCGGGCGTCTCCGGAGTGGCCGCGTCTCCGGACAACACTGGTCACCCAGCTGCCCGCGAGGAGAGGCCTGCGTGCCCTTCCCGGCCCAGGGCTGTGTCTCCTCCCCTGGAGTCCGGGTTTCCGGGGCCTTCGTGGAGCTCGGCCCTCCTTGCCGGCCAACGTGAGTGAAGCAGCTTTTGGGAAGGAGCCTCTGGCCCCGCTGGCCCCAGCTGTCCCCAGGCTCACCATGTGAGTCACCTCCAGGGTGGGACTCTTCCCTGAGACCCCAGACTTCCTGCGACAGACAGCCACGCCCCATGTCCCCTCCTGCCGCCTGACCCCGCGCCGTGGACGTCACACCATGGTCACTGCGATCTCGGGGGGGGGGGTTACTGCATCACCATGGTAACCACAGGCCAGAGGGCAGTGACGGCCGGAGCTCTTGAGCCAGGATTGCTCACCCAACCGCACCGCCTGTCTTGTAATTATTTATTTCAGGTAAAATTTACTTGTGGTGAGGCTGGGGGCCTTGGGCTCTCCCGACTGATGCCAAACCGACTTCAGCTTCACGAAGTGGTGGCCACCGGTGGCGTCGGGAACCGTCCAGGCCGTGGCTGGGCCTTTGCCGGGAGTCTGGCATCTGAGACCGGCGAGTTTCCGGGATCGCTCTCCCCACTGTGTTTCCGGCCACAGCGGCACCGGGCTGCGGGCACGGGCTCCGAGATCAAGTGGCCGCGTCGGCGGCAGAGCTGGGGAGGACAGGGAGGGACGCGTGGGCCCCGGGCTCGTGGCTCATCAGGCCCGAGAGAAGAGTTCAGACCTGGTCCGAGTGACAGGGCACGGGGAACCCTGCCGGATGCCCCTCAGCTCCTCCCGGCTCTGCTCGGCATCAGCCTCCGGCCCTGTGTACACTGCAGTGGTCTTGAACCTCAGGCCTAGCAGGAGCACAGCTGGGCGCGGCTGGGCGGGAAGCACAGCCACGTCTCCTGGCCTCAGCTTGCATTTCTTAACGTCGCTACTTTTTTGGGCCATACCTGGAACATTCCCTTACTATGTCTAAAAATTGATATACATTTGAAAAGGGGACTTGTTCTCACTTATGTTAATTTAATTTATTTATTTTGAGACAGGATCTTACTGTGTAGTTCAGGCTAGCCACAGACTCACTAAGTAGCCCAGGCTGGTCTCGAACTCACAGCAATCCTCCCGCCTCAGCCTCCCAATTGCTGGGATTACAGGCGTACTGGCCTGTGCTGCCATGCCTGGCTAAGTATGTTTATTTCGACACCAGACTGGCTAGCACAGAAGTAAAGCCTGGCTTACTTGCCATACATAGCCAGAAATCTTCCAAATAAAAACAGTGATGACATCGTCAGGGTGTTCCACGGCAGCTAGGAGCCGCAGCTGGCCGAGGATGCCCCGTCCAGGCCCACTGTCTCACAGCTCACAGGGCCATTAGCCAAATACTAGAGACTCGCCAGCACAATCTGGCTTCTGCTCTTCATGAGCAGGACGGCTGAGGCCTGGGAAGGGAGTCACTTTCAGAGAGGTTCGGCCTCTTGGAAGGCCTGTTGTGAACCGTCTCCCGTGTTTGGGGCAGGGAGGACCTGAGTTAAGGCCGGCAAGGATAGGTCTGGGGGACCCCGAATGCTGAGTCAAAGGGGTGCACTGGCAGGGAATCTCCGTCAGTACTGTCGGGGGTGCCTGGGGCTTCTGCAGCACAGCCTGTTGATGAATAGGGCGTCCTTGTCCCCTGTTGGTGGCTTCTGCCCTTTTAGGCAAACAGTTCCTGGTTGGTCCTGTGCGGGGAGCGCGGGTCGCCGGGCCGTCTGACCCCTTGGGCCCAGGCCTGACTCTGAGCAGTTCTGGCGCACCCAGCCCTCGGACAGCGTCCTGCAGGGCTTGAGAGCTCAGAGCAAGTTGGCACTGCACCTGAGAGGCATGGGCGTGGGTGTGTGCAGTCAGGTGTTTTTATTTATGATAGCTGATGCACATCGTCTCCACGGTGATGGAGTGGAGTGGGTCCTGCGGGATCAAATGCCCCAGCCCAGGAACAGAGCCCTCCGAGCATCAGGGGTCAGGGTAAGGTGGGGGCCCTGCCTGGCGGGTCACTGCCTGGCCTTTGGCAGACGTCGGTACTTGAGTTTCAGTGTTTGGTGCAGGGCAGGCTGCTCTGCGAATGCCCCTCTCAGCTCAGACACAGCCTGATGCCCGGGGCCACGAGGGTCTGGCCACTGCTCTGGATGCTGCTGTCCACCTCCAGACGCGTGGGAAGCTGTCAACCCGCGGGTGCACATGTTAGAGCAACACATAGGGACGCTTTGCCGACTGGAAGACATGGCAGATAAATATATGTAAGGGATACAACCACACAATGAAGACCCAGGGTCCTACTCCATAGTGTAAGGAAAATTTTAAAAATGTCATTTAATTGAACGTGGGGTAAAGCAGGATCTCTGCTGCCCCCTCTCCCTGTGCTCTCTGAGTCTTGGCAGGGCCCTGGGCAGCACCCCTCTCCCAGTGAGCCCCATGTGGCAGCCAGCGGCTTCTCTGCCCAAAGCCCCCTTGGGCCCTGCCTGGCCTCCTCCTCCTGCTCCTGAAGGCGCCTGGATCCTGGACATGGTGTTTCGGCCCCATCACACAGCATCCTTGAACCGTGTGGGTGGGAGCTGTCCTCCTGGGGTCTTGGTGAGGCTTCTCTGCCACCAGACGTGGCCTTTGGTCCATGTGGCCGTGTGTGGCGGTGACTGTCCAGGCCCAAGGCTGTAAGCTGCTCCCCAGCGGAAGGGCAGCCCCGATCACCGAGAGTCACAGTCGCCACTGGGTTTGCTGTGACGGCCGAGCTGCAGTGCCTGTTGTCCCTGTGCCCTCGCATACATGTGCATGGATTCTCTGGGTCCGGGGTCCGGAAGTGGCAGCTCAGGGGACCCTGCGTCTCCAGCCCTAGACTTGGTGCTGGTCTGTGATCCTCAGGGTTGACTTTGTCCCTGTACTGTGTGGAGAGGACTTGGGCACTCTGCCTCCTTGTCCACACCTGTGGCCTGTCCCTCGTCACCAGCTGGGGGTGCAGACTGGGACCTCTGTGTGCGTTTAGGTCTCCAGTGCTCTCTGGACCCGGGGCTAGGTGCTTCCAGTGGGGGGTTCGATCAGGAGACCCCAGCCCAGCCTGTGAGGAGGGGAACGGGCCAGATCCTCCGACTTTAACTTTGTAGCCACAATTCCGTCTACATCTTTTCTTTCTTGTCCAGAGATGAGGATTGAACCTGGGGCCCTGTGCATGCTAGGAAAGCGCTCTACCACCGAGCTACATCCCTGGCCCCATTTTTGATTGACTGATTTTTGAGGCAGGATCTTACTCTGTAGTTCAGGCTGGCCTTGAACTCACTTGATGTGAGTATCTCGCTGAGGTGCTCCTGCCTCAGCCTCCTGAGTGCTGGAATCACAGGTGTGTGCAACCATGTCTGGCTCCATCTCTGTTTTAATTAGTTGAGAACTTGGTTGGGAAAGCTGGGAAAGCCTGTTCTAAAGACACCTCCACCCCAACAACTAGCAGTGACTTGATGTTAAAATGTAATAATGTAAACTTATAAATGGCCACGAGCCTCTAATTTTCCTGCTGCAAACCTGGCCAGTCTGGAGCAGCCATGTGACCTCTCCTTCCATGGGGCTCCCCGATCACCCGGCACACAGTGGGATTCCAGACTCGGAGCTCTTAGGGTTTGTGGGTCTCTTCTTATTTAATCACGGTTTACCCCTCTGTGGGTGGAAATCTTGCTTCTTTAAATTGCAGGCTTCTGGAACTTTCCATGTTGGTTCATTTCCCTCAGGATCAGTGGGACACGTGGCCTAGGTTCATTCGTCTGGGAAATGTGTGGGAGATCCCAGGAGAGCCCCAGTAGAGGATGACACTGCGCCAGGGAGTCGAAGATACAGAAACCAGGTCTTTGCCTTTCACAGGGAAACGAGGGGATGCAGTATGCTTTGACAGGAGGGATATCTGGCTTACTAAGGAGGCCTTCTTTGCTTGAAGACACTGGCTAGAGTTTCCCAGGTGAAAGGCAACTGTGAAGTGGGTTTTGAAGGATGAGTAGGAGTGGAACAGACCGTAACCACGTTCTGCCTTCCCAGCTTTGGGGATTATTGTGGTTGTTATATTGCAACCTTGGAAACTTCTGTCTAAAAGAATTCCGAAGGTCAGTATTAGTGAAAACTGACCAGTATCCTTTCAGTAACCACAGGGCTTGATGGCAGCTCAGGCCTTGGAAATGAGTCCAGAAATCCGTGCTGCCTGTGGCCCTTCTGCGTTTGTTCTGTCTGAACCACCGGCTGCACCGCTGGCTGTTCCAGCGAAGGATAAAGAAGAACAGGGCCAGGGATTTAGCTCAGTGGTTTCGCCGCCTGCTGTGCAAGAGCAAGGACCCGAGTTCGATCCCTGGTACCAAAAACAAAAACAAAAACCAGAACAAACCCCATTCTTTGAAGCGCGACCGCCGGGCTTCTGGCCTCGGGTTGTGGCGTGGGGCATTTCCGGTGTGGGGCTCGTCCCTGGCGCACGGGCGAAGGGCCAGGAGCGAGCGAGGCC